TTGCCGAGGATGCCCATGCCCACCCGCGCCACGAAGAGGCCGGCAAACAGGCCGTGCGTCGCCGCCGAGTAGACGAGAAGCGACCGCAGAGGCATGATCCGCTCCCCGTCGGGGCCGGCGTGGTAGGCGCACACGCTGCAGAGCGCCGAGGCGGCGACGTATTTGAGGTGCACCTGCGGCGGAGCGAGTAAGTGTAATGTGGGGAGGTAAGAGAGTGGCCGCGTGCGACGCGGTGGCGGTGGCTCGCGCGCCCCGTGGACAGCGCCCATCCCTAGGCAGGCTGGGTCGGGGTCGGGGCGAGAGCCCGACGTATTTTCTCTTTGCGATGTATGTCTTTGCCTTCGATGTGAAAGGTAAAAAGCAAGGCGGACATGGCATATCGCTCTCGACACGAATTTTCGCGCTTTTAAGTGAAGAACGACGCCACACAAGCTCACAATCATCAAAACAATCGATCACAAGCTTTCACCATCGAAAACCGGTACCCTATCGCCGAAAGGAGCCGGAACCCTCTCCACAACGGCTCCGGTGGTGGGCTGAGTTGGCAAGGTAAGGGGAATGATCAGAATGGCAAGGCTCGGAATGCGTTCTCAGAACGTTCAGAACACCGGCCGCTGGGCCCGCCTGAGGCGCTGAGACCCGGAGCCTCTCTCTCGGCACTAGCAGCAGACAGAGGGCGGTAAGCCGTCATTGCCCGGCGCTGCTTGCAGCGCTCTGGGTGGTAGTGGCGGCGCTCCAAGAGTGGTGCTCTTGGGAAGAGGTTCCTCCTTTCCGCTCCCCCCCCGCAAGGCGCGAGACACAGGCACAGGGACAGTGACGCGGCTCATCAGTCAGTCCTCCCTCAGCCCGACCTCGGACGGAAGACTAGGGATCCCTACAAAGGTCGCAGGAATGATCAGAACGGCATCCAGGCGGCACCGGCCCTACGACTCGGACCGTGCCACAGCCCATCCCCCCAAGCGCCAAGGCAGCCCACCGCCCACCGCCCGGCCCCAGCCGGTCCGACCTCTTCACACGGCGACGATTGCGCCGCCGGCCGCCGCTGCCAGGGCCGCCGCCTCCGTCGGCGCCAGAACAGGCTCGAACAGCAGCCACGACTCGTACTCTGCCGACGGCGAGCCGTCGTACATCGACGACTCGAGCGAGACCGAGAGGTCCGTCGCCGCGCCGTTGTCAACGTCGAACTTGGCGACGAAGTTGACGCGGTCACGCTCGATCGTGCGCCGGCCGTCGTTCACCTTGGCCGTAACCGTGCCCACGCACCAGCCGTAGTGCTCGAAGCGGACCATGATGCGCTGCTCGATGAGCGCGTCGCTGGCCGGGTTGGTCGGGTCGAGCTGCTCCTCCGTCGGCGAGGCCGCGACAACCTTGAAACCGTCCGGCACGAGCAGCGGCGCCTCCACCATGCCCAGCACGTCCCCCGCGTCCTCAAAGGTCACGAGTGGCTCCTCATGCTCCGCTTCGGGTATTTTTCGGGGATACCTGAGAATTCTCGGGTATACCCGGGTTTTACCCGGCCGGCCACCTGGGTCGGTCCGAGAATGTTCCAGGAATGATCAGAATGGCGAGGGCCAGAACGTGTTACATGTACTAGTCAGAACGGACCCCAGTTGCCGATCCTGCCAACTCAGCGTGAGTCTGAGAGCTGGTCTGGGGCAAAATCTGGGGCAAAATTGAGGAAATCGGCACGATACCCAGGTATTTTCCAGGTATACCGGGGTTTTCCAGGTATACCCGCAAAATACCCGGTATTTTGCCGATTTTGGCCCCAAAACAGCCTCAGACACGGCTCAGAGCCCCCCCAAAATGACGAATTCCACGGAGTTTCCCCGGGGTTTCCCGAGGAAACTAGAGGGTGTTGTAGGGAAACGAGCAGGAAACACGGAAAGGAAACCAGGTAGGGTGCGAGAGGAAACCCTCGTACAGGCCAAGTCACTTTCCTGCCTCGAAAGGGCGGGGCTGAGGGCCCAACTTGAGAATCGTGCTTTGAGTTGGGTTGTTTCGTGTTGGGTTGGGTTGTGGTTGGGTTGGGTTGTTCCGCGTGAGGTTGGGTCGTCGGCGCGAAGGGTGAGGTCTCGACCGCCGCCGCTCACGCCAGCGGACGGCCACTGCCGGTGTTTTTGGCTTCGCCACCGTCCAAGGCGTGCGCCATGCGCTCGCCGGCATCGAGCGAGCAACGTGATCGACCGAGCGGCTTGCTGTGTGGTCGCCTTCTTGTGGCTCTCGTCGAGAGCGTTTTGCGTCCCGGCGGGTGGGAGAATGTGTGTCGTCTGAAGTGTCACTGTGTGCGTCACATCGATGTGGATAACAAGCACGGTCGATCCGTCAAAGCGATACACTCG